CCTCTGTGTGGAAATCTTTTTGGAGACTCAGTTCTGCCCTCAGCAATAACCCCTCTCTCTGTTTGCATTACAACCAATCAGCACTTAGTTTTCTATTAGACAACCGGGGACTGCAAGATATAATAAAAGCCAATTCATTTTCCTGTGCTCTTAAACAAAACACCAGGGCATGCCATTTCCTAATGTCCCACAGACACTCTGTCAGAGAGTATAGAATTCACCTCAGCATGACTGAAAAAAGTTTGGCAGCATGCAACAAGGTATGTTATCATGCGGATTCATAGTTGCTCAAAGGTGCAATATTTGCAGTTGACAAACAATGTAAAATATATGACTACCAGTCAGTGTGTGCATGTGTGGTTTACTCAGTTTTAGTCATAGCATGCTATGTTTGAAAAGTAGTACTTATCAGGGGACTTCTGAGGGAATGCACTGGGAAACGTGTGGGTAGCTTTTGTGTATGAGGGTGATTAAAGATTAAATTATTTGCTGCTGCTCAGTTTTATTATAATGGATGTTCTACTGAATTTAAGTGTCTTTAACCAAACACACTTCCAAAGAAATGGTGACCTTTAGCTTTGATTAAATATATAATTATATAAATAAATACGGACCCGTTTCTCTCTCAACCCCCAGGGTTTATAACATGACTGTTAAGTTTGAAGCGTTGATAGTTTATTACCACAATACTCAAAGTAACATGATGTTTTAAGTGGCACAAAATTAAAGATGTAATTACAAATCACTTGGAAATTGTGGGATGTGACGGACAGGGAGGATGAGGTGTAGAATGGGGGTAAGATAGGTTGGGTGGTTGGGTGTGGGGGTCGGGGGCAGAGGATGAAGTAATGCGCCTGCAGAAGGCGCTCCAGCCGAGGGGTCAGATCCTGTTCATGGAAACCATCTGGCCAGCTCGATCTTAGCCACACTAAACATACAGTACACATGATCCTCCTTTCTATCTCTCTCTCACTTTCCCCCTGCCTTCAAACTGCCCACTTTTTCTCCCTCTTCCTCACTTCCTAAACTCCCCTTCCTTTCCATCACTTTACCTTTTCTACCCCACTGCTTTTTCTCCTCTTTTTCTCTCTCAAAAATATCCTACTCATTAATGCATGGCAGCTGCAGGGAGCAGTGTTACTTCATTTTTCCATGGCAACGGTCTCTCTGTTTCAGCAGATCCCATTTCAGTTTTGGTAGCAACGTGCTCCTTTGCCAATGCTGAACACATTCATGTGTTAAATAGAAGGAATTATTGCAAAATTCCTGAAATAGAATAACCATCCGGATCACTTGCAATTATTATCGGGGCCCAGAGAGAACATGGGTGTCCTCGGCTAGAATGGGCTGGAGAAGGGGAGATGACAGGATGAAAAGTAGTACGGGTGAGCAGTGGGGGAGAGAGCCAGGCAGGAAATAAGCCAAGGGAGAAATGCAGGGGACAGGGAGGGACATGAGAAGTAAGAACACGCGAGGCAAAGTGATGAGTTAAGAAGATGCACTGTATGCAAGGAGCAACACAGCAATGAGTTGAAGCATGAGAAAGAAGTAAAGCATGGGTCAGAACCCCAAGGTTGAGGGCAAGTGGCCATCTAAAGTCTGCCAGGCCATTCTGGCCAGCACGACAATTGCAGCACTGCCCTTCAGCCCTAATGTGAAGTGACTACTAAAATAACAACACCTACACACATGATGATAGCCTAGTATGACCAAGAAACTTAGCTGCCTCTTCAGGGAAAGACACACACACACTCCCTCATTATGCTATGCGTAATGTCAAGGAGACGCCACCACCTTGGGCCTGAGGCCCTCAGTTTGGATGGTATGTCACTCTGACCTCACCGTTTCTGTGTGTGAAACACACATTTGCCCTTTTGCTATAAGTCAATGTATTTTCCCCTCTCTCCCAAGATTCTCTCTTTTTTCATCATTCTTGATGGGCATCTACACTAATCAATAACAAGGTGAGATTGCTATTTGTAGCGAACCATTTCTCTTTGAGCCAGTTGGCTGGTCTGTTTTCAGCATTAGTTGCTCGTCTGTCTGTTTCATGGACAGTTTTTTTTTTTTTAAAGAGATTAGAGAAAGTTCTCTGATGGCTTTGAATGGATTAGGAATAATGTTTCAGCCATTTTCATTGCAGGGTGAAAATCGCCTATCATTGCCGGTGAGGTAACAGGAGAAGAGGGTCTTACAAATGGAGATAGATAGGAATGTGCAGCATTTGAAGTCATAAAGGAACCATGGTTCAGAGTCCTTTCTGGGGTTTGGTTGAGGCACTCAGCCAAAGTTATGACAGAGCATGACACTCATAGATTCAGATAATACTGATACTGCCCTGTGTATGAGAGAGCATTACCAGGAACCAGTGGTAACCATGTCTTTTGTTGAACAAGACAAGTATGGTGTAAAGCGTGATTTTAGAATAGAGCACTACAAATGGAAATTGTGCATGTTCTGCTTTTTCCAGCTGCTATTCTGGGTTTAGACTCTGAGTGGGATATGCGTCTAAGACATTACATAAGCTATATTCAAGTTTAGAGACACACTGTAATGAAATGCACAGTGATGTGGGACAGAATTGCTTACACAGATTTTTTGAGGTTATGCTGTTTCTTGAGGTAAGGGATGATACAGCAAAGTTCATTAGACATTGAACAACTCAAACGTTAATCCAAATGTATGATATTAAAATGAAAACATGAAACATGTTTTATTCCTGGTAATCTCTGATATTTCTCAGCTGACCCTAGTCGGACAAATAACAAAAGACAATAGCTGCAAACGTAAACCTCATGTACCTTTTCCATTCTTCATTGTCAGTATTTTCTTACCTCCTTGTATTAAAATAAGCCTACAGTGTAGCATCTGGACAACATCTCTACCTCTTTGCCTCCTGCTGTGAATTAATTTTTTAAAACAATTTACTCAATTACCAGCCATCTTCTATCCCTATTTTGTTTAAACAGCTTTAAGCAGCCGTAGAATAATAAATAATAATAATGAATTATACTTTTGTTACTTTCTCTCCCCAAATCTCATTCCCCCACATCCTCTCAATCCCTCATGCACCCCTCTCTTCTGTAAAAGATGGAAAGAAATCCCTACATGCCAAATTGGGCACATGTGCAGCATAAGTGTGAGCCATTAGGTATTCTGTTTACACCACACTAAAATAAATGTGGTTTAAGTTTGGGGATATCCAAGGCCTGGGGTACCAGCTGTCAGGTCGTTTCGTTTGGTCCGCTCCCACTCCCATGTCAACAGGACAGACTGTTTCCTAATTACTGCTGCAGTACATGGTGTGGTCCCAGTTGCACAGCCAAAGGGGACAGAGGAAAGTGGAGGCAATGACGGGCTTAGCAAACTATTAGAGGGTTGAGTTAATTTTTGTGGAAGTACTGTAAACAGCTCAATGGGTTGACATGGGACATGGGCTCTGGAGAATTACTTCAATTCACATATGTCATGCTCTCTTTCATGTTTGACTGACATCAGTTTGTGTGGTCCTTGCAATAAGAATTAAGGTGAATTAAGAACGGTTGTTGGACTTGTGCATCATTGGTTATTGTTTACATGCACAAAGAAACTTTCTTACAAGCCATATTCCAATCAAAGACTGATTTAGCTGTTTACCTGCACACTGAATCCCCAGCAACTGGGTATCCATGTTGCCTTGAATAAACCTGTTGATAGAAAACTTCTGTCAACTTGTGATGAGCAGTCCAACACTAATATGAAAATAGGATCCAAATAAGTTACGATCCCTGTAGCGATCTCTGTTTGAATCTGACTGTGTGCTGACATATAAACGCTTGCACATTGTAGATCCGTATTCAGAAATGGACCTAACAAACCAATGAACACAAATACATCCATCTGCCCCAACCAATAATGTCCCACATGAGCACTGTGGGTGGAGGCACACGTATGCATGCAGCATGAGGTCCTGTTCCTGTATCAAAAGGTGATGTGGGCTCTACTAACTAGGGGGAATCCCCCCCCCTTGTGGACTAGTTAACTATCCAGTTAGACACTTAAACAGAGAGAGAAGGGCATTCAACCAGCCAACCAGTCACCCAGAAAGGCAGTCTACCACAAAAGGACATTAGATGTATTCATTTGTATGCAAAACAGGTTAACAGCTTACAGAGGTCACTGGAAGCCATATGCCCACATCCACAGATAGAGCTCAGCTAAGGTGGGTTGAGCTAAGCCTCAGTAGTTTACTGTGATAGAAGATAGAAGAGAAAGAAAGACGTAGACGGGGAGAGGGGTTAATAGTCTTTAAAACAGATTTGGGACTGATGAAATGTAAAGCTGCTCCCAGATGTGTGTGACAGCCAATAACTACTGTTGAAGGTCAAGTCAATCTATCCATTATCTATCCTGCTTAACCTTTGAGGGTTGTGGGCGGCCTGCTGCCAATCCCACGTAACATTGGACAAGAGGTGGGGTACACCTTTGACAGGTACCCAGTCTATCACAGGGCTAGTATAGTGACAGACATACAGTCACGCTCACAATCACACCTATAGGCAATTTAGAGGCACCAGCTAACCTAAATGTATGTTTTTGAATTGTGGGAAGAAGCCGGAGCAGAGGAAGGAGGAAACCCAACAGGTAAGGGAAGAACACGCAAACTCCACACAGAAAGGCTCCAGCCAACCAGCAGGTTTGAACCTACAAACGTCTTGCTATGAGACAACAATGCTAACTACTGCACCATCCTGCTGCTTAAGGTCAAGTCAAAAAGCGAATATGTAGCACAAGTGCAGATGATTGAAACCCAAAAATGAATGTGTTAAAGATATATTGGGGGGCCAAGACTCACCAGTGGGCCACTCTGCCCCAACAGGAGCAGATGTTGTAGACCACTCACTGATGAGCAATATCAAAGGACTGCCATTCAAAATCAGCCCAGTAGAGGAAATTGTTATCTTGCATACATGTTCCTATACACAGGTTCAACAACCAAGGTCGAGTGTATAGTTTGGTACCTGTAGAGTAAGGCGTTTAACAGCATCCCAGGCATGGGCAATGAGCTCCTTCATTCTTTCCTCTGAGCTTGTCCACGACTCCACTGCTGTAGTATCAGGCATCACCTTCATTGGGATGGACAGGGGACGTGATTCTGGGAGAGAAAGAAAGTGATGAAGACAAAGTACATTGGATTCATATATTGTTTTAAAACAATCTGGTCAGTTGTACTCTGGTTGTGCATCAATTCTCAGTACTGTGCGTATCCTGTATTGATGTAAATTAGATTTATTTAACCTTTTGGTCCTGGACTGAAATATACTCTTTACCACAGAAGTATTAAATAAAATCTATAAATGGTGCATAAGAAAATGCACTGTCCTGCATTCATCATTTATTTAACTCTCTTCATAATTCACTGTTATTTTCATTTGTTGTACAACAGTATCATGTTATATGATGTTTAACTGACACTTCATTGAGGTGATGTAATGTTGGCAGGTTTCTTGTCTCCAACAGTGGGAGAGGGAACTACAAGAACTGAGAGAATGAACACACACACACGCATGCACGCACGCACACATGCGCACACACACACACACAGTTGAACTCCTATCTTTGTGAGGACACTCACTGACATAATGCATTCCCAAGCCCTTTACCCTAACCTTATCCATCACAAGTAAATGCCTAATACCAACCCTTACCCGAAACCATAACTAAAACTTATTCTACCCCTAAACCAAAAACAAAGTCTTAACCCTCAAACAGCCCTTTGAGGTTGTGAGGACCAGCCAAAATATCCTCACTTTCCCCAAATGTTCTCACTCCATGAGGTCTGCAAGAGGTCCTCACAAATATAGCATGACAAGCACACACACACACACACACACACACACAGTGTCCTAGACATTACATGTCCTAGTAGGCCTGCTGTGGTCCAGACGAAGGCCGATTGTCAGAACTGACACTCATGGCAACAGCCAAGCACACAAATCACACAGCAGTAACCCCTATACTAGCCTTTGCACGAATCGTATAAACCTGAGGGTCAAAACACACTTTCAGTGTTCAAGAGGCATTTCTTGTCAGAGAAGAAGACAGACAGATGATAAAGAAACTGAGTGTAAGAGAGAGGCACAGAAGCAGAAACAGAGGGACTGAGACAGAGGCATATAGACAGAACACACATTCTCCCAGGTTAGCCTGAGGTCTGTGGATGTTAAAGCCATCAGAGCGTCAGAGGTGAGGGAAGGGGGTCTCTCTGAAGACACATTAAGACATATTCCATGATTTAAAGGTCTGCCTTGCTCAGCAGCTCTATCCCACAGTTGTCATGAAACAGTGGTGATGTCACAGCACCTCCATGCCTCCTCAGATACCGCACTCACAAATATCATTACAACAACAGCCAAATTGGTTGGCATGGCAACAATGGTGTGTTGCCAGGGAAATGAACTAAAATGATGGTTAGTTACCCTGGTTTGCGGTCATTGTGGCACCTGGCCTAAAACCTGTGGGTGGGAGTGTGTGTGTGTGTGTGTGTGTGTGTGTGTGTAAGTAAGTGCAAGAAAGGAGACTGGAGGCAGAGATCATCGTGTCTGGATTCTCTTACAGTATTTTCTCACACTCAGCATCCAGGTGCCTCTGGCACTTGGGGACTATGAAATAGACTGTATTTGTCATGATGCCTACAATCAGTGTTGCATCATTACATACTATGCGCAGTACCTCAACCACACTGTACGTTTTATACATTTGACAACTCTTTTCTTCCAATCTACCTTCTCCCACCCTCTTATTTGTCAGCTACTATGTTCCTGTGAGCCATGTATATAACCAGTTCTAACATTCGTATACTTTAAAATATCCACACAGTCACAGATGGCAACAATTGACTTTGACAGGACAGATTGTGTTTCATGGACTGTCTTTCATTGAGTAATGTGCAGAGAGTGCTGCATAAACCGCTGTGATATCATTGGGTTGTCAATAGTGTTTTGTTGTAGAGGGCTGTGTATGTGTTAGAGTATTCCTGTCACAGTGCATTAGAGAGCTGTTTCCTATTCAGCTCTGCAGGGGATCCATATGGAAATGACAGAACTCTGTCACTGCTGCTCTCTGTCATGTAGCCCAGCTGTCTAGACCAGGGAAGCTTTACCTCAAGGCAGGTGGAGTGGATCCTGTATTACTAGAGGTTGAAGACTAGCTGGCTGTGTGTATGCATTTGAAAATAACTACTATGATTCCTTTGATGCACAATAACGAATATGCACAGTTACATGAGAATATATGTGGTGTGCAACATACAGTGGCTTAAAAAGCTTTTAAAAATTGCCATAATGCCTACACTAAATAACCTATTATGTCAAGGTGAAAACATATTTCAAGAAATTTATGCAAATTAAAATAAAAAAAAATTAAAAAAACTTAAATCTCTCATTTACAAAAGTATTCAGACTGCTAGCTGTGGCCCTAAAAATTGTGGCCTGATGCATCCTGTTTGCTTTAATGTTTCTTGAGATGTGTCTAGGACTCGACTGGAGTCTACCTGTGGCAAACTGAATTGATTGGACATAGTTTAGAAAAGCACATATCTGTGTAAGGTCCCACAATTCACACTGCATGTTAGGACAAAAACCAAGCCATAAACCCTGAGAAACCCTGAGACCTCCATGATGTGAAGTGTGGTGAGACATAGATCAGAGTAAGGGTATAAAATCATTTTTAAAGCTTTGAATGTTCCGAGGAGCGCAGCAGCCACAACAATTGTGAAATGGAAGAAGTCTGGAGAACCACCTGGACTCTTCCTTGAGTTGGCTGTCCAGCCAAACTGAGTTACCGGGCAAGAAGGGCCTTGATCAGGGAGGTGACCGAGAATCCAATGGTCACTCTAACATAGCTTTGGAACAATCAGGCCTTTATGGTACAGTGGCTAGACAGAGGCTACTCTTGAGTAAAGGGCATAGGACAGCCTGCTTGGGGTTTGCCAAACAGCATTTAAAGGACTTAAAAGATTCTCTGGTCTGATGAGACAAATACTGAACCTTTTGGACAGAATCCCAAACACTATTTCTGGCAAACACCAGGCACTGCTCATCACCTGACTAAAACCATCCCTACAGGGGCGCGACCTGAGACTATGAGAGGAGCTTGAGAGGATCTGCCAGTAAGAACTGTATAAACTGCCCAGTTCCAGGTGTGCAAAGCTTTTAGAGACTTATCCAAGAAGACTCAAAGCTGTAATTGCTGCCAAAGGGGCCTCTACAAAATACTGAAATTACAGGTCTGATTACGTTTGTAAAGGAGTTAGTTTTTGATTATTGTAAGAGATTTGCAAAAATTAAAAACATGTTATCACTTTGTCATTGTGGCGTATTGAGTGTAGATAGCTGGGCAAAAATGTATGTTTTTTTATTCAAATCTACAAAACAATAAAATGGGTAGAAAGAGAAGAGATCAGAATGATTTCTGAAGCCACTGTGCATCATGCACTCACATAAATGTAATTTCACAATGCACAACATGCAGTGAACATTAATGTACATGTGGGCACACACTTGTCAACACAGTGTCTGAAATTGAGCCATGGGCAGGTAGAAAACTACTATTACATTCATCTTATAATACGCTGACCCTTCTTTCCTGCTTACTCACCTGAAATCAACATTACCTTCAAAAATGTATTCTTAGTCCCATCACTCTTCTTGAATATATTACTTTTTGGCCAAGCCTCAAAGGTGGTACTGGGGGTAGGCCAGACTGTGAAAGTCCTTCCCCAGAGAAAGTCTGTTAGACCAATCAGAGAGTGTGCTAAAGCACAGAATAGGCAGTAACAATGCAAGACCAGCCTGCATGCAGCTCTCCGTTTTGTTTTAAATACCATTCCAGGACTCTGTTTGTTAATCCTGGGGTCATTATTTGGAATGAAACTGCCATATCTTGTTATAGTGACTTGGCGCCTGCCATTTCTGCAGGGAGGGGATTGGGAGAAAGACAGAGGCAGGCAGGGACAAAGAATGAGAAAGACAGAGAGAACACAAGAGGTCTAAATTCAAATGAAAGAGAAATATGACAGGAGCGCCCAAAGCTCTTAAACCTGCCCAGGCCTAACAAGTCCTGAGAGTCCTCTTAAAGTGGGGTTATTCCCCCTGCCTCGTGCCATCTCAGCCATGTCCTTATTTTCACCCTCTGTTAGGCCATTAGGCTAATATCTTATTGGCCAAACTCTGACCATACACCCTTTTCCCTCTCCCTCTCCTTTCCTCCCCTGTTTTGTTCTCACTCTCTCCAGCCACTCCCTCTGTCTTTCTCTCTCAGTGTTCAGCTGGTGTGTGAAGCTGCGGGTCCAGTCCCCTATAAAAATTCTAGTGTTCTGATGGTGATTATTCATCCTCTTTAACAGCTCCATCACATCTCCCAGCAAGTGAAATGCCAGGGACTTTGAAGCCCCCAGCCTGAGCATGTGTCAAGTGATCAGAGAAAACGCAGAGACCAGCCCCGTTACAACAGGCTGACTTTAAGGCGAGAAACAAATCAGTGTTGCCTCATTTCATGATGTACAACACAACACCGCCACAGCAGAGTAACATGACTGTAAAATGTGTGAGGGCATGTGGTGTGGTGAATGTAAATCACACATGCGTGCACAAATGTGCATTTCACAATTAAACACACATGAACACTCTGAGTCACTCTGATACAGCTCACACCACCAACGCTAACACCACAACAGCGCCAGAGAAGTTTCTACTACAGATTCAAGTCTTGACAGAAACAATGGCAAAAAGCATCCATACATCCTGAGTAGTTCAGCGACTCAACCATATCAACAGCCTCAGTCAGGGACCTCAGATCATTTCCCCATGCAGCTTGCTATCATTCTGGAATATTCCCTATTACAAATGGTTTACAGTGAGATCAAGTGTTGTATATTCTACTACAGCTGCATGCAGAGGAAGCAATGGGGCTCTTTAATAAACGTGCCTGCCTATTTGTTTTGGATGCAAGTCTGTGTTTATTTAAATATATTGAACGAATGTTGGACTGTTTTATATTGTTTTTATGAATCAAATTCTTTGCATGTAACCATGGCGCCATTGAAAATGAGACCTTGGTCTCAACGGATTTCCCTGTCTAAATAAAGGTTAATAA